TCATTGCCTTGTGTGCTTGTCATGACTTGTGAGTTGTCTTGCATTGCATTTGTTTTACTCATTTGCACAATTGTCATCATGTTCACCTGCGTGACTTGAACGTCGCTTTGAGTGTATGCATATCGCTGCCACAGCTTCGACGAGGAGGGCCAGTTCCTGCGGATGACGTTCCTGGTGGAGCAGCTGTTGGCACATTATTCTGCTTTGTATCAGTTAGGATCTAACACTGGTGCGTCGTTCCAAAACATGAGAGAGCTTTATCGGCGGCCTTTCCGCCGACTCAGCTTTATCATTTTCTGCGACTCGCTGCATTTGTCAACGAGCCGTTCCGCTCCAAGGCGCAGAAGCTTCTCGATCAGGTTTTGCATAAGCGGAGACTCCAGGTACCTACCGCTTTCACACAATTACTGCTTCCGCCTCTACATGCTCGAGACTGGAAAGCCAAACTCGGAACCTGGTTGCAACGGTGGGTGGCATCTAATCGCAAAAAAAATCCCTTCACTAGTCCTTCCTATGATCCGAGTCGTTGAAACTCGCAGTGCGACCCTGGGCGATGGCATTTACAACTACCGCAAATGGCAGCAACGATGGACTCCAGACACTTCTTTTCCGTGCTGCTGCATCGATGTGGATGACCGCACTACATTTCGCGCGCATTCTCATGCTGTTGTTTTGAATGAGTTCCAGTGCATCAACGCTGACATTGGCGCTGACATTATGTCCGCCTCCATGAAGGAATGTTTTGGTGATGTTGATTGACTTCCGCTGCGTTTTACTTTGCAGCTTCGCAAATTGGCTCGCCGATGGAAGGTCCAAGGGTCCAGTTTTGAGGCTGACTCCCGGCCCATTTTGTCTGAGTTGTTTGATCAACATCGCTGCAATGTCCAAGACCAGGCACACTGGACCTCCGAGTCTTTACAACCCACGGCACGTGCCCTTACTACGTGGGTTGTCATTCCAGCGGGTTTCCATTCTGTCGCACAAGGCATTTTGTACAGGTCTTTGTGGGGACTTGAACCTGTCGACAGCACCAAGCTCGGACAAGGCGCTATGCCTGCTCATTGTGACTGCTCGACTTCTTGCTGGGTGAAGTGTCCTTCTCAGCCAGTGTGAGCCCGGAGTGGCAGGCGTCGTGATTTGCGGTTGAAAACTTGTATGTCATTGCCTTGGTTTACTCATTTGCACAAGTGTCATCATGTTCACCTGCGTGACTTGAACGTCACTTTGAGTGTATGCATATCGCTGCCACAGCTTCGACGAGGAGGGCTAGTTCCTGCGGATGACCTTCCTGGTGGAGCAGCTGTTGGCACATTATTCTGCTTTGTATCAGTTAGGATCTAACACTGGTGCGTCGTTCCAAACCGTGAGAGAGCTTTTATCGGCGGCTTTTCCGCCGACTCAGCTTTATTATTTTCTGCGACTCGCTGCATTTGTCAACAAGCCGTTCCGCTCCAAGGCGCAGAAGCTTCTCGCTCAGGTTTTGCATAAGCGGAGACTCCAGGTACCTACCGCTTTGACACAGTTACTACTTCCGCCTCTACACGCTCGAGACTGGAAAGCCAAACTCGGAACCTGGTTGCAACGGTGGGTGGCATCTAATCGCAAAAAACCCCTTCACTATTCCTCCCTAAGATCCGAGTCGTTGAAACTCGCAGTGCGACCCTGGGCGATCGCATTTACAACTACCGCAAATGGCAGCAACGATGGGCTCCAGACACTTCTTTTCCGTGCTGCCGCATCGATGTGGATGACCGCACTACATTTCGCGCGCATTCTCATGCGGTTGTTTTGAATGAGTTCCAGCGCATCAACGCTGACATTATGTCCGCCGCCATGAAGGATCAATATTTTGGTGATGTTGATAAACTTCAGCTGCGTTTTACCTTGCAGCTTCGCAAATTGGCTCGCCGATGGAAGGTCCAAGGGTCCAGTTTTGAGGCTGACTCCCGGCCCATTTTGTCTGAGTTGTTTGATCAACATCGCTGCAATGTCTAAGACCAGGCACACTGGACCTCCGAGTCTTTACAACCCACGGCACGTGCCCTTACTACGTGGGTTGTCATTCCAGCGGGTTTCCATTCTGTTGCACAAGGCATTTTGTACAGGAGATGTGTTTGCATAACGCAAAGGGCCTGCAGCTCCTACTTTTGCGTCCATGGCTTCTTTGTGGGGACTTGAACCTGTCTACAGCACCAAGCTCACGGACAAGGCGCTATGCTCATTGTGACTGCTCGACTTCTTGCCGGCTGAGGTGTCCTTCCCAGCCAGTATGAGCCCGGAGTGGCAGGCGTCGTGATTTGAGGTTGAAGACTTGTGTGTCATTGCCTTGTGCGCTTGTCGTGACTTGTGAATTGCCTTGCATTGCATTGCATTTGTTTTACTCATTTGCACAATTGTCAGCACGCTCACCTGCGTGACTTGAACGTCGCTTTGAGTGTATGCGTATCGCTGCCACAGCTTCGACGAGGAGGGCTAGTTCCTGCGGATGACCTTCCTGGTGGAGCAGCTGTTGGCACATTATTCTGCTTTGTATCAGTTAGGATCTAACACTGGCGCGTCGTTCCAAACCATGAGACAGCTTTTAGCTGATGCATTTGTCAACGAGCCGTTCCGCTCCAAGGCGCAGAAGCTTCTCGCTCAGGTTTTGCATAAGCGGAGACTCCAGGTACCCACCGCTTTGACACAGTTACTACTTCCGCCTCTACATGCTCGAGGCTGGAAAGCCAAACTCGGAACCTGGTTGCAACGGTGGGTGGCATCTAATCGCAATCTTTTCCCTTCACTATTCCTTCCTAAGATCCAAGTCGTTGAAACTCGCAGCGCGACCCTGGGCGATCGCATTTACAACTACCGCAAATGGCAGCAACGATGGGCTCCAGACACTTCTTTTCCGTGCTGCCGCATCGATGTGGATGACCGCACTACATTTTGTGCGCGTTCTCATGCTGTTGTTTTGAATGAGTTCCAGCGCATCAACGCTGACATTGACGCTGACATTATGTCCGCCTCCGTGAAGGATCAATATTTTGGTGATGTTGATAAACTTCAGCCGCGTTTTACCTTGCAGCTTCGCAAATTGGCTCGCCGATGGAAGGTCCAAGGGTCCAGTTTTGAGGCTGACTCCCGGCCCATTTTGTCTGAGTTGTTTGATCAACATCGCTGCAATGTCCAAGACCAGGCACACTGGACCTCCGAGTCTTTACAACCCACGGCACGCGCCCTTACTTCGTGGGTTGTCATTCCAGCGGATCATTTCCCTTCGCGCGCTCACGTGATTTGCCCGGCCTTGTTTTCCATTCTGTTGCACAAGACATTTGTACAGGAGATGTATTTGCATTATGCAAAGAGCCTGCAGCCTCCTTTCGCGCCGAAGTCGCGACTATGATAGCTCCTCGACTACAACAACGATATGCCTGGGAACTACGACTTCAAGCTCCCCTTCCCACCGCACGCATTCTGCCCAAGCCTACCAAGGACTGGCTTAAAGCGAGACCAATCATTTCCTTCTTCCGCACGTGGGCAGCTCCTCTCCTCACGGTCTTTGGGGCCCTCATCTTCGAGCTCATCAGCTCTGGGAGGCATTGTCGTCCGCAGAACCCACTGATTGCATGCAGTTGGTGTCACAGGATGTGTCCGGTTTCTTCACGCCCATTCCCACAGAGCGGTTTCACCAAGCTCTTCAAGTTCCCTTCATCGATATGAACAAGTGGTGGGACTACGCAACGTATCACACTGGTCTGTCTATGAGGTAGAGTCTGATCATCGACGACGCATGTTCGAAGGAAAATGGCGCCGTCGAACAAAAGTCCCACGGAGTTTTCGCGAAGAGGATCTACAGCTTCTCCTCGACTTTGTCATCAACAATAGCCACTTTGGAATCAACGGCTACTTGTTTAGACAAGAACGAGGCGTCGCAATGGGATCTCCGGCTGCGCCTCCTCTTTGCATTCCAGTCGCCGCTGTGGAAGATTATTTCTGGCACCAGACCATGACTTCTCTTCAGCTTCAAATGCCTGATTTTGGTGTACTTAAGCATGGATGGTGCTCAACAACCATGGCTGGAGCATTCAGGCTGGCAGGGACAAGAATGGGTGAAAGTCTACACTCCTGGGGAACCTCAGCTATGGAACGAGGATGACGTACCTCATCTACCAGATAACACATTTCGAGTTTGGAAGCCGGTGGTCCCACTACGGGATGAAACTCAAGGAAGTGAAGATTGGCAATCTGAGCAGGGTCATCAGCCGCACAATCAACACGATGCTTGGACCATTCAGGATTGGCAGCATCAAGGCTATCAACGGATATTGACCCGCTATGAGTCCTTTTCCGTCAACAATGCCTCCATTGAGCTGCGGGATGGCGCGCGCAACCCCGACATCTCCATCCAAGTGGAACAGCTTGGTGCATCTCAGCACGGTCTTCGTCAGCAGGATCAAAACTTGCTGGACCGCTTCACCTACTCCCACCTCTGACAGATGCCGCACATCAGTCCTCGCTGTTCCTTCCGCCAGTCTTGCCATCAACGGCAGGACAAGGGGGCGGACTATTTCCTGCTCAACTTGGTGATCCTGCGTCCCCGCCTTCTGAGCGGCACCGTAGAGAGCGTGCAAATTCACGTTCTCCTCGCCGCGGAGGACATTTGGTTGACTCTAGGACGCTGCAAATTTGGTCTTCCGGATACAAAAGATAGCGTACGCCCCTCTTGGAGGGGCGTGTGTGCGCGGAGTGACAGAACACCCTGTCACCACCTTTAAGCTCTGGCTGAAACCGCAGGGGAGTGCGGCATGACTGAGGGACCGCACTCAACGAAGCTACCTCAGTCATGGTACCGGATCTGATCAATCCGGCGTACCTGCGACATTTGGAGTTGGTGATGTAAAGTCTTTTTGGCCCGTTGTTTCTCTCGCTGTGTGTGCTTCATGTTGAATTTGTAACGTTTTCGCTGCTGGACGGAAGCCAAGTGACTGTGAGCCGAACCGACACCCACTCGAGACTCATCAGTTGTACTCGAGACTCATCAGTTGTACTCGAACGATTAGAATCCTCCCTTGGGAGTTGAAGTGTGTGTGTGTGGGGTGTGTGTGTGTGTGTTGTGTGTGTGTTGTGTGTGTGTTGTGTGTGTGTGTGGTGTGTGTGTGTGTGGTGTGTGTGTGTGGTGTGTGTGTGTGTGTTTGTGTGTTTGTGTGTTGTGTGTTGTGTGTTGTGTGTTGTGTGTTGTGTTGTGTGCTGTGTGTTGTGTGTTGTGTGTTGTGCGTTGTGCGTTGTGCGTTGCGTGTTGTGTGTTGTGTGTTGTGTGTTGTGTGTTGTGTGTGTTGTGTGTTGTGTGCTGCGTGTCGCGTGTTGTGTGTTGCGTGTTGTGTGTTGTGTGTGTTGTGTGTTGTGCGTTGTGTGTGTTGTGTGTTGCGTGTTGCGTGTTGCGTGTTGTGCGTTGTGTGGTGTGTGGTGTGTGGTGGTGTGGTGTTGTGTTGTGTTGTGTTGTGTGGTGTGGTGTGGTGTGGTGTGGCGTTGTGTGGCGTTGTGTGGTGTTGTGTGGTGTTGTGTGGTGTTGTGTGGTGTTGTGTGGTGTTGTGTGGTGTTGTGTGGTGTTGTGTGGTGTTGTGCGGTGTTGTGCGGTGTTGTGCGGTGTTGTGCGGTGTTGTGCGGTGTTGTGCGGTGCTCTGTTGTGTTGTGTGGTGTTGTGTGGTGTTGTGTGGTGTTGTGTGGTGTTGTGTGGTGGTGTGTGGTGGTGTGTGGTGTTGTGTGGTGTTGGGGTGTGGTGTTGGTGTGTGGTGTGGGTGTGTGGTGTTGTGTGGTGTTGTGTGGTGTTGTGTGGTGTTGTGTGGTGTTGTGTGGTGTTGTGTGGTGTTGTGTGGTGTTGTGTGGTGTTGTGTGGTGTTGTGTGGTGTTGTGTGGTGTTGTGTGGGGTTGTGTGGTGTTGTGTGGTGTTGTGTGGTGTTGTGTGGGGTTGTGTGGTGTTGTGTGGTGTTGTGTGGTGTTGTGTGGTGTTTGTGGTGTTGTGTGTTGTGTGGTGTTGTGTGGTGTTGTGTGGTGTTGTGTGTGTGTTGTGTGGTGTTGTGTGGTGTGTGTGGTGTGCGTTGTGTGGCGTGTGTGTGGGGTTGTGTGGTGTTGTGTGGTGTTGTGTGGTGTTGTGTGGTGTTGTGTGGTGTTGTGTGGTGTGGTGGTGGTGTGGTGTGGTGTTGTGTGGTGTGTGTTGTTGTTGTGGTGTTGTTGTGTGGTGTTGTGTGGTGGTGTGCGGTGGTGGTTTGTGGTGGTGTGTGGTGTTGTGTGGTTGTTTTGTTGTGTTGTGTGGTGTGTGGTGTTGTGCGTTTGGTGTGTGGTGTTGTTGCGTGTGTTGTGCGGTGTTGTGGGAGTGTTGTTGCGTGTGTTTGTGCGTGTTGTGTGGTGTTGTGTGGTGTTGGTGTGTGGTGTTGTGTGGTGTGGGTGTGTGGTGTTGGTGTGGTGTGGGTGTGTGGTGTTGGTGTGTGGTGTGGGTGTGTGGTGTTGTGTGGTGTTGTGTGGTGTTGTGTGGTGTTGTGTGGTGTTGTGTGGCGTTGTGTGGTGTTGTGTGGTGTTGTGTGGTGTTGTGTGGTGTTGGTGTGTGGTGTTGGTGTGTGGTGTGGGTGTGTGGTGTTGTGTGGTGTTGTGTGGTGTTGTGTGGTGTTGTGTGGCGTTGTGTGGTGTTGTGTGGCGTTGTGTGGTGTTGTGTGGTGCTGTGTGGTGCTGTGTGGTGCTGTGTGGTGCTGTGTGGTGCTGTGTGGTGCTGTGTGGTGCTGTGTGTGGTGTTGTGTGGTGCTGTGTGTGGCGTTGTGTGGTGTTGTGTGGTGTTGTGTGGTGTTGGCGTTGTGTGGCGTTGTGTGGGGTTGTGTGGTGTTGTGTGGTGTTGTGTGGTGTTGTGTGGTGTTGTGTGGTGTTGTGTGGTGTGGTGTGGTGTGGTGTGGTGTTGTGTGGTGTGGTGTGGTGTTGTGTGGTGTTGTGTGGTGTTGTGTGGTGTTGTGTGGCGTTGTGTGGTGTTGTGTGGCGTTGTGTTGTGTTGTGTGGTGCTGTGTGGTGCTGTGTGGTGCTGTGTGGTGCTGTGTGGTGCTGTGTGGTGCTGTGTGTGGTGTTGTGTGGTGCTGTGTGTGGTGTTGTGTGGTGCTGTGTGTGGTGTTGTGTGGTGTTGTGTGGTGTTGTGTGGTGTTGTGTGGTGTTGTGTGGTGTTGTGTGGTGTTGTGTGGTGTTGTGTGGTGTTGTGTGGGGTTGTGTGGGGTTGTGTGGTGTTGTGTGGTGTTGTGTGGTGTTGTGTGGTGTTGTGTGGTGTTGTGTGGTGTTGTGTGGTGTTGTGTGGTGTTGTGTGGTGTTGTGTGGTGTTGTGTGGTGTTGTGTGGTGTTGTGTGGTGTTGGCGTTGTGTGGCGTTGTGTGGGGTTGTGTGGTGTTGTGTGGTGTTGTGTGGTGTTGTGTGGTGTTGTGTGGTGTTGTGTGGTGTGGTGTGGTGTGGTGTGGTGTTGTGTGGTGTGGTGTGGTGTTGTGTGGTGTTGTGTGGTGTTGTGTGGTGGTGTGCGGTGGTGGTGTGGTGGTGTGTGGTGTTGTGTGGTGTTTTGTGGTGTTGTGTGGTGTGTGGTGTTGTGCGGTGTTGTGTGGTGTTGTGCGGTGTTGTGCGGTGTTGTGCGGTGTTGTGCGGTGTTGTGCGGTGTTGTGTGGTGTTGTGTGGTGTTGGTGTGTGGTGTTGTGTGGTGTGGGTGTGTGGTGTTGGTGTGGTGTGGGTGTGTGGTGTTGGTGTGTGGTGTGGGTGTGTGGTGTTGTGTGGTGTTGTGTGGTGTTGTGTGGTGTTGTGTGGTGTTGTGTGGCGTTGTGTGGTGTTGTGTGGTGTTGTGTGGCGTTGTGTGGTGTTGTGTGGCGTTGTGTGGTGTTGTGTGGCGCTGTGTGGTGCTGTGTGGCGCTGTGTGGCGCTGTGTGGCGCTGTGTGGCGCTGTGTGGCGCTGTGTGGGGCTGTGTGGTGCTGTGTGGTGCTGTGTGGTGCTGTGTGGGGCTGTGTGGTGCTGTGTGGTGCTGTGTGGTGCTGTGTGGTGCTGTGTGGTGCTGTGTGGTGCTGTGTGGTGCTGTGTGGTGCTGTGTGGTGCTGTGTGGTGCTGTGTGGTGCTGTGTGGTGCTGTGTGGTGCTGTGTGGTGCTGTGTGGTGCTGTGTGGTGCTGTGTGGTGCTGTGTGGTGCTGTGTGGTGCTGTGTGGTGCTGTGTGGTGCTGTGTGGTGCTGTGTGGTGCTGTGTGGTGCTGTGTGGTGCTGTGTGGTGCTGTGTGGTGCTGTGTGGTGTTGTGTGGTGTTGTGTGGTGTTGTGTGGTGTTGTGTGGTGTTGTGTGGTGTTGTGTGGTGTTGTGTGGTGTTGTGTGGTGTTGTGTGGTGTTGTGTGGTGTTGTGTGGTGTTGTGTGGTGTTGTGTGCTGTTGTGTGCTGTTGTGTGCTGTTGTGTGCTGTTGTGTGGTGTTGTGTGGTGTTGTGTGGTGTTGTGTGGTGTTGTGTGGTGTTGGTGTGTGGTGTTGGTGTGTGGTGTTGGTGTGTGGTGTTGGTGTGTGGTGGTGGTGTGTGGTGGTGGTGTGGTGGTGGTGTGTGTTGGTGTGTGTGTTGGTGTGTGTTGGTGTGTGTGTGTGTGCGTGTGTGTGTGTGTGTGTGTGTGCGTGGGCGTGGGCGTGGGCGTGGGTGTGCGTGTGTGTGTGCGTGTGCGTTAGCGTGTGTGTCTGTATGTGTGTGTGTGTGTGTGCGAGTGCCGGCTGCTTCCTTCACCTTCTTGTTCTTCATCTTGTTGTTGATCAAGTTGTGCAGGGCCACAGTGGAGCGCAGCATGCTGCCCAGGTACAATGCTAGCCTCAATAGCAAACCAGCAAATGTTCAGATTCAGCCGCATTGATGCTGCTGTCACCATCATGACCTGCTTGCTATGCTTTTCCACAGGACGGCACATCATGTCGTTAGTCTCTGTCGCCAACGACCTGACAAGCTCCTCTGAGTCCTGGCATCATTGCACAAGAGCGCAAGCATTCTCTTGAAACACACAAAATGCTCTAACATCAATCTGGCGCCTGATCAGGCATTAGATTGAAGATCTCCTGTAGCTGGTAGATGATCTCCTCAAGATGGCAAGCTATGCGAAAAGCGAAGCAGCGTTGAACATGTCCTGATTCATGGGCAGCTTTCCAGCGACCACTTGGCACAGGTATTGGGAGATCTCTCGGAGTCGCATGGCCAGGCCCTTTCCATCGAAGGGCACGAGACACATGTCGTGCAACCGCAGAAGGAAGGTGCGAGCCTTGAGCGCGCCAATTTTGTCACCCACGCGGACCGCTAGAGTCGATGCTGACCTGGGAGTGAAGTGTATTGAGTCGTTGAGTCATAAGTGTCATCGCAGCCCAGGATTCCGTGCGCATTCTTGATGTCGCGAAGAAGGTGCTCAACGCCCACCTCTTCGGCCTGTGTACTCCGGACAAAAAAGGAACAAAACCGCTCTTTGAGCAGCAAAAAGGTCAGTCCTCAAAAGCTCCAACCGTTGACTGCACATGCAGGAAGGTTCTTTTGAAGACCTGGCAACTCTCTTGCAACATCACAATTGTGTTTGGTTTGCGCAAGGCACCTCGTCGGAGGTCTGCTCCTGAACGGAGTAATATGCCTCCATTGGCAGCTCGAGATCCTGGTGCGCGTCGCAATGTTTGACACCGTTGGCCTTGAACAGTTGCCCCAAGCCTTCGGCTGCACATCCATGACCACTAGCACAGGCTCTGGACAGTACCTGTATAGAAAAGCTGGCGAGAAAAGCGACGTGGGCCAGTTGCAACCAGCAGACAACACCGACCATACACAAGAAATCAGCGCCGCACCGTCGATAGAGCTCGTGGATGCTGAGATCCGACGGCTTGATCTTGGGTCCAGTTGAGTACCATCCAACTATGCGCTCTTTGGTGTTCACCTGGGTCAAAGCCAAAGAACAAGTCCTGAGCAAGCCCTTGCCTTCTTGAACATGGCAAACATGGCTTCGTGATAGTTGTGATCAAGAAACCACACCTGGAGGCGACATTGCCAACGATTGCCACACCGCTCGCCGCTGCGCCTGAGGATCGCGTGGGTCCTCTTCGAAGGGCACCGCGAAGCAGTTCGTTATGTGCAAGCTAAAGTCCGACACCTACACGAGGCAAGAGGTGAAAGCTCAGACTAGCAAGCGAATGTGTTGGTCCTAGAACTCGGTTTCTGAAATCTGAGTTTAGAAATCGGCTTGCATCTATTTCCGCGCGGTGCTTGCGGCCCGTGCCTTCCCTCAAGTGCTAAGCAGATTGTTCGAATTGGCGGCCCCAGCTGAAAGGTCGGGCAACTGAGTTGTGTGATTCGAGGCCGCAGCGGTCAAGTGAAACTTGTGGCATGAGGGCTTGCAAAGCGCCTCACCAAGCAAAGTGCCCACCACTCGCTTGGTCGTGCCCTTGGCAACCTTGGCATGCAGTCCAAGGTGCACACAAATGACTTGTTACACAATGATCTGCCCACATATGAGCTTGTGTACATAGATGCGCATGCACATGCATACCAGAGAAGCCTGCTAGCTTTGAATAGCAAGCTCATGTCGGGTACGATGAAATCAGTGCCCACTAGGCGATGAGTGCCTGTGATCCTGTGAATATGCATGCGTGAAGCGATATTAATATATATATATATATATATATATATATACGTATATATATATATATATGTGTGTATGTATGTAATGTATGTAACATATGTATACTATGTATAGACGAGCATATGCAGCGTGCGCGTGTTACCTGTATACATGTCAATAAACCAATGTTTGTGCGTATTGAAGGGATGGAGACAAAGGTATGTAGAAGTAAGAATAGCGAGAACAAAATCTGATGGGCGAGTCTCAATCATGTGGAAACCTTTCCTCGTATTTCGGGACGCTTCCCAAGTAAACTCTTACTAGAGGGTTCTGAAGTGGTGATTCAGCATTTGCTGATCAAGAGCTCTGATAAGTCCGTGAAGGGAGCATTTGCGTCATGCTGCTTCCAAAATGGCTCACTCCTTGCAAGCTATGCTGGCGATGCGAAGGTGCGGAAACCACTGCGAGCAAAGGACTAATTTGAAGCTCGTGCAGTTGATACGCCATTCAAAATTTTATCAAATGGGATAATGCTACGTCATTGTCCGAGCACGATGTGTGCGTGTGTGTATGTGCGAAGTTCTCGATGAGCAGTATTCAGCAACATAGAGAAGCGAAACACTGAGTTCTGAACGCACGTGCCCCCCCTTGCTGTATTTCTGGTTGACCTACACTGTGTGTCAATGACTTCGAAGGCTCTTCAAATGACACTTCCTTGACCTCGTGAAGCTAGTTTCCTTCCCTGGCAGGTTGCAAATAATCAAATACCAATTAATCTTTCATCTCCTCTTGGCTTGTTGATGCTCTCTCATATCTGGCCACGATATACCTCTACACCACTCCTCTGGACCGTTTTAGTCAGACGTGAGGCCACGTGATGGTGCTGGTTTGGCTCATGTATGCAGGATACAAACCGTTGCGCTTCCGGCCTTCGCAATTTCTCACTGCGATCTGCTGATTAGCACTATTCTCCCATGGTTGGAAGTTGGGAAGTGGCAAACTTCTGAGATTGAACATGAGGACGGCGCTCTGTTGTAGTGATCCACTACGCCGAGCAAAACGATCGGGTGGACCACGACATCCCGTCTGTCCTGGCAATCTTCAGAGATCTCCACAAGTCTCGATGAGGACATCTCGCATCCCTTCACGGGGAACTACACCCGCCTTTTTGGCCTCCTTTGGCTTGTCGCCATCCTTCTTCTCATCCTTGGTCTCCTCCTTGTCCTTTTTGTCCGCCTGTTCACCCGTCAAATGATCGAAAGAGCATGGTTTGCTTTCCCACCTTGTCTTCTGCCATAGTCTGCAGCAGCGCTTGGCGAAGCTACCAACAGCTGGTTGAGCCGAGTGGTTGACCAGCACGCTGCTTGAGTCATGCTGAGTCATGCTATCCCCAAATTGAGAGAACACAGTGCTGTGTGCTCGGTGCATCATGTGTTCATGCTCTTCACAAGCGGCGCCTGGAAAAGATTTGCTGCCACCCTTTATTAAAAGCCTTGTTTTCCCGCAAAGCGCTGTGCGGGTCAGAATCCGAATTTCGGATCTCATGAACTATCGGAGGCAGTGATTCCCTGCATCACAGCTTTAGCTTCCACCAAGGCTGTTACTTCGTCGTCAATGGCAGTTTGTCGCGTCTGGAAGTTCTGAATCAAAAAATCGCAATCGGAGTGCAGCGTGCCAGCTGCCGATACCAAGGCCTCCTTGGCCGCAAGGATATTCTTGCGGTCAGTCTTGGCATCCGCCTTTTCACCCTGGCCGCATGCTTCATATGCTTCATACTCTTCATGTGCTTCATATGACTCATATGCTTACATTACGCATGATTTGTTGAAGGCTTTTGGTCCCGCCTGTGCCTTGGTGATACTGGCCTGCAAGCCCGCCACCTGCAGGGATTCAACATGTCTGGTTTGCGCTTGCCGTGTGATCCTTTGTGTTTCTAGCACTGCGCCCACTGCGCCCAGTGCGCCCAGTGCGCCTCCTTGTTTTTTGAAGCGACGTTGACTGCAGTCTCTTTGGCCAATTCCTCGTAATCGGACTGAGCAGTGTTCTCGTCCTTGATGGCCTGCTTCTCGGCCTCCTCGAAAAGCAGTAGGCAATGCGCACGTTGACAGTGAACAAGGGCCACTTTGTTGAACTTTGTTCCAACGTGAACCCAACGGCCGCAACAAACGCAGAAGACAAGGGGCCAGAGTCCCAGCCTTGGCTTGGTCCATGATGTGCTGCAACATTGCAATTACTCCTTTGGATCCTGCGCTCTTCTTGTATTCGTCGAATCCCTTTGGGGAGGACAGGTCATCTGCTTGCAGCTCGTTGGAGCTTTCGTCTAGCGTCTGACCTCGCTGCGCCTGCACAACTCTCGTGCTCACCACATAAAGCCTGAACTGCCCTTTGCAAGGCGTTCATTTCCAAAGCCAAGCAACAAAATAATTCAAGCTTGGCGACAATAAGACTGTGCTTTGCGCAAGACTGCGCCAGCATTCATTTCAATATGGACCATGCCCAAGTGTGGATTTGCCTTGTACTATTCCTAGGCATCCCATTTGCTTAAATTGTTCCCCGAACAAATGTTTTCTATTTTCCAGCTGACTCGTTTTTGCACAAAATCCGTGCCACGCAAACCGGCCTCCTGCCGCCTCAAGCAGGGAAACCCAAACTCGATGGAAATGAATCCAAGGTTCTTGACCTTTTGCCCCGCAGAGCAAAGGGTCGCAATCCCGCGCGATGACAACAACCCCCCCGGCCGAAAAAGAAGAATCTCATTACCGAGCACTCTCACGCGAGTTAAAAATCTTCCCCAGAGATACTCAACCTTATTTTAATAACTGCTGACGCCGGGCTGCGCTAGCTCTCCACCCAAGAACTCAACCTAAGCTACCCAACCTTTCACACCCAAGCTGTGCACCAGACTTTCTATGCAGACTATTCTCACCCAGACTATACCCGCGCTACTCGCGCCCAGACCGCCGTGCCCAGACCACACCCAAACTATTTCCAGACTACTCGCCTCTACGCAATTAGCTCCGTGCAAGTTGCTCTGCGCAAATGGCTCTGTCCAAGTAGCTCTGCGCAAGTTCGCTCTGTGCAAATGGCTCTGTGCAACTGACTCTGTGCAAGTTGCTCTGTGCAAGTTGCTCTCGGGGGCGGGAAAATATAAATATATTCCAAGGGGTGACGTGGTCCCCCGGAAAAGTTGTTTCAGGGGTGGCCCATATTTCAAGTACAGTATTCCTTTGGCTCATGTGCCTCCGATGAAATCGCTGGAGCGCCATGACCCAAAGCTTGTTCATGTTTGCCCTCCTGCAACCATGCTGAACTGCAACCATGCTTGCAAAGCCTTGGATCGCCGGCAGATTTGCTAAGTGTGCAAAGAACACGCTTTCTGTTCACTCCCGTGTGCCTCCAACTGAACCAGGGACTTGCCATAGAAGTCTGCCAACACCTTGAGGGCCGCCTGAAGCAACTTCTGCGTTTCCCGCTGGTCACCGACACTGAGCTGAAAGGCTTTGTTCTGCTCCTCGCGGTCTTGGGCTGCTTTGGCTAGTTCCTTGTTCAGGGTCTGGACTTGACCCTCGAGCTCGGACTTTGAACCCGTCAGCTTGGTGGTCTTCTCGTCGAGGGCTTCAAGCAAAATGGATGCATCCTCCTTCTTGCGGTCTTGCTTCTCCTGCTGAGCCTTGTTCTCCGTGAACTGGTCAGTGCAGAACGTTCTCTTCTCCAGCTCTGCTTTCTTCTGCTTCTTCAATTCTGCAATCCTGACAGTCTGTGCAAGCAAGCGTCAAAAGGCCAAGTGCCACATCAACGCAGCCTGAAATACACACCAAGTTCACACACCTGCACTACATCTGAGGAGGGCGCATGTTGTCAATGGCTACAGAAACCTCCCCCAAGCTGTCTGACTTCGCACGAAGCGCCAACAGCGACAGGCGAGGGCTGTGTAGCTGCTGCGCCGCAGCCAACAGCTTCGCCTCGCCGGCACGCTGAAGCTTGTGATGGCTTGAGCGCTGGAAAAAACTCGTTGTCTTGACTAGCTTCTCTCGACCATCAGAAAGAACTTGCGTTGCTGCGCTGATTGCTTTCACTTCTTCCCTGCGAGTCTTCTGGCGAGCGTCCCACTCTACATCGCTGTTTGTACACTTCGACTTCACCGTGACGAGGAATTTATTGTCTTCGTCGAGGGCAGTTGTTGTTGCACCTTTCTCCTTCTTGTTCTGTGCCAGCTGCTCGTCTGCAGTAGCTTTCTCTTTCTGTTTCACCCTTATTTGTCCAGCGCTCATTTCAATCTCTTCAGCCTTCGCCTCCTTTAGCTTCTCGTAGGCAGCCTTGTTGCTCGTCTCCTCATCCTGCATCTCCTTCAAGTCCTGCTGAAAAGTCTCCAGCATCTGTGAAAGCATTCCAAAAATCTCTTCCGAGCTTTGTCCCGGCTGGACGTATTGCAGGAGGTCTGCAACTTGGAAGCGGCGGGGCACGTCCTCTAGCCACCTTCAGGTGCATTTGACCGGTAACAGCTCCAATGAACTTGCATCCGGCCACGCAGCCCAACTTCTTCCCTCTACAACCCATGAACCGTTACTTGTTTATCTTCGAAAGAAGAAAATAACATTGACAAATGCCATCAATGCATATGCTGCATATGCCCCCTTGCCTGCGGCTCTTTGCAAAGGCAAGGGCGGCATTGCGTGAGCTTGTCTGCAGAAAAGACTTTGATTTGCCCGCTTTGACAGCCTTGCGGACTGCGGAGATCGACTCCTGCAAATCCTTTGATTCCGCTTCAAACTCCGACACCTGCTTCTCTCGTATTGCAGTTGCCTGCTGCAAGGCTTGCTGGTTTTTCTCTGCCTCCTTCTGCAAGCTCTCAATCTCAGGTCCCAATCGAGCTGAGAGCGCAATGCCCTGCTCAATTTCTGCTGCCAGAGATTCTATTCTGGCAGAACCTTCCTCGATGGCTGCTTGCTTTGATTTCTGTGTCTCTGTGCACCAGCAAGCCTGACAAGCTTCGCTGACACAAGGCTGCGCGAAAACACGCTTTGAGTGAATGCACTGAATGCACACTGCACAGTTCTCTTATGTGCTTGTCAGGACATTTGGACTGCGGTTCCGTGGTCACCCTGTCTGGGAAACTGGCCATTTTGTCATAAACTTCTTCATCCTTTTTTGCATCAGCTTCCAGCTGTTTTTCCATGTCCTTCACATCTTAGGAATGCGCAAGCAATACCAGCGAGTGTCATCACTGCCAGACTGATCTGTGCTTGAGGCCGATCTGAAAAAATGCATCAGCAGTGGTGAACACAACATGTTGATGCTGTCAGACACTTCGTAGCCTAGCCTACGCTGTGCTCTTATCACTTTACATGTCAGCTTGCTTGCAGTCCTCCAGCAAGCTAACCACTTTGATCACTGGATCCTTCCCCAGGTCCACGCGAAGGGACGCCAGCACTGCCACAGGCGCCCAAAGAAAAGCCCTCCATCGAGACATGGCAGGGCAGCTACAATGCACGGTGCGCCTTACGGCTGCCTGATACACTTCATTACTTCATTGCCAACAGCATACGGCTTCGAGGACCATGAGAATTCGAGCAACCACGAAAGTGATGCTGCAGCTTGTCTAAGACTTTCTCCATTGCGATGCAGTGCTTGGCCGTGCACGCAATGGAACGTGCATCTCACACGAGCTCAAAGACCGGTGGTCATTTGCGAAAGCCATTCTGACCTAAATCAGTAAATCAGTCTGTGCATGGCTCCATATGGCTCCATATAAGCATGAGGGCCTGAGGCACAGGCTCAATGTCCTTCAATGTTTTGTTTTTCAGCTTGATGTTTAGTGCTGTCTTGATGAGCCTGGCCAGGGTACGAATCTTCTAAATATCAGAACGCTTTCGCTTGCACAGCCAGGCAAACGTCTCTGACTCCACCGCGCTGGGAGCCTCAACTCGGACAAAACGCCGGGTTAGTACATAAGACATGGACTCTGGACACACTAAATGTTCGGCCGACCTGCTTCAGGGTCTGCAGAATCTGCTCAAAGGATTGGTTCAACAGTGCCTCTTGATTCAGCCTGACCAGTTTCTCCGACGCCTTTTGCACAAGCCAATACACGTGAACTGCGAGGGGACATGGTGTACAACGTGCGTAACGTGGAAGGATGACTTCAAGAGGGCCAGGGCAATGCGGAAGATGATCTTGACCTGGCGCCAATCCATTCAATGCGCGGATTCAAGAAGCCCAGGCCGGGGCCCCTTCTGCAAGGAAGATGTCCCAGACCCGCACCACGGTGGAAAAGGGGAAATTGTAGATACAAACCTCACAAGTTGCACGGATAGCGCAGCTATCAATGAGTGCGGCCAAGGTCGTGACTGTCATAAACCATTGAGACGCGTACATGGTGGGCTCAACACCTTCAACGCTAGCTTAGATCAGACAATGGAACTCTGCACATGCCTTGTTCTGCTAGATGCTCATGCAGGTGCGGCCTGAGCATGTTCATATCATAGTATGACAAGGGGCATGCAGACCTTTCAAACTTGTGGCGCTAGACCTAGGGCCACAGCAAATTCATCTCGAGTAGCCTTTGGAGCTGGAAGAAGTACTTGTTCAGGAGCGGCAAGTTGGGCCTTTCCAAGTCCAAATTCATGCTGTGCTTGCCGCATAGTTGTTTTTTGTTTTACATGACCTCGCAACTTCTTGTCAAACTCTTTTAGCTCCTACCATCAGCATGGCATAGCGCAGGTACTCATGTTTCTACCGAGTTTAGACTGAGCTGTTGGCATGAATAGTCCAGCCATGCGGTAATTTTCCAGCAGCGAGATCAACATTAAGAAGGCCTGGCGTATCACATGAAAGGACCATCAGAGTAGAAATGCAGGGCACTTCATGCATTGAGAGCTGATTCAAGTGCGCTTGGATGACGTCGTCTTCACCCATGTACATGAGCAGAACGCCGCAAATGAATCCCATGCCTTGACCTAATTGATCCAGCTCTTGCATGAGAGTCTTGTTGCAACAAGGAAAAGGGCGAAACGCAACTGCAGGATGCATCATGTGCTGAGCTCCGAGCAATAGCCAACCTCTGCGTTGAAGATGGAATAGGCGCGAAGCACATTCAGCAGTTGTTGTTGGCCCAGGCCTTGCTTATCCTGAGCGAGTATACATTTTCAGCCCAAACTCTGTGCGCTCTAGCTTGACCCACAGGAACGAAGTGATTTGCAACTTCAGAAGGCTTGAGCAACTTCAGCTGTCTGCCGACAAAAGCATTGCCAAAGCCTTCAAGGCTGCAGTTGGCAGCTGAGGCACCAGCTCTATACAGAACGTGCTTGGGGAAGGTCCTGTTGATATCGCGGACCTAGAAAGTGGCCGGCATTCGCGGCTTGGGTGGAAGCAATAAATAAAACGAGCGCAAAAGCATGAAACTGCCGGCAAGCGTGATCCATTCCCCTCAAGCATAAAATCAGCAATTCCCGGGCCAAAGAAAAACAACCGTCGCTTGATCTTTGGACCTTGTCAAATTTTGGCAGCTGCAATCTACCTTTAACGAGTCTATTATGAATTGGCTGATTGCCGCCGCTTCGGCTCAGCTTGCGCCACCTGATAAATATAAAGTTTTGGCATCAAGCGGCGACAGCAGGGCCTAGAGCAGTCTGTGCGAACAAAATTAGGAGGCAAGGAGCGGGAGACTGACTCAAACTTCAGGCGCGGAAGCACACGAGCATGGAGCTCAATGGGGAGCTGAGAACTGGGGTGGGGATGGGAATGCTTGCAAACTTGAAAAAATGGAGCGCTCATCACGAGAGCAGGGCATGGCGAAGCCAGTATGAACACCAAGCAGCACAAGAGCTCCGCGAGAGCTCTGCAAGAGTTGCGCAACAGCCCCACGTGGATGCAACATCCTGTGATGGACACTGAGCCACACGAGCATGGGCCAGCCGGCTTCGCAAGCTTGCTAGCCTCTCAAGCAGCTAATCAAACAACTTAAATTTTGAAGAAGCATCAGCCTGTTGCTTTGCACATGCTGCTGTGAGAGCAAAGGACACGACTCCGAGCACCGATGCAGCTGCCCGATTTGTGTCAATGCTACAAGATCAGGTGTGCATGGCGCAGATTGAGCCCTAATGGCACAACAGGATCCCTCGGTTTAACATGGTGACGCAGCTGTTTGATTCTTGTGTATTTGACCTGATAATAACATCGGCTGCTAACAGTATTGAGGCTGCCTGCTCTTAACGCACGCCTCAGTCTCTCGCACAAAGAACACATGAAACTTGCATGCGATGTGATGAAGAGCAGCTGGACAAACAAGTTGTATACGCCGTAAACTCTTTTGAGAGCTTCTGCAAACACAACCCTTCCGCGAAGCTTCCTCGACTCAGGCGCGGCGCAGATTGCACAAAACCTGTTTTAACAATAAACTGAATGGAGCCAATGACGATACAACTGATCTGTCTTCGAAATGCTGTTTGGACAAACAGAACATCAGGTCTGCACCAATGTAAGACCAGCTAGGTACAAGTTTGAAGGTTTGAATCCATGGGGTGATACGGCATTATTGTCCGACAAGCTGCGCAATGCTGCCGCAACTAAGAAGCATGCGATATCTCCTTCACAAGGGGCTGAATCCACCCGCCGCATCTGCTCATAGATGTCCTACATGCAGCTGTTCAGCGTTTGACATTGTCACACCTTCTTCACTTCTATACTTTGCTGTGTCGTCCTTGGGGTGCTTGTGCAACAGCTCCCGGGAGAGAGCTAATTTCTGCCAGACCTCGTATGAGTACCACTGTGCATTTGCCAAACAAGTGGCAAGCAGCCGACCGAGCCCCGAAGAAACTCAGGAATCCCTTGGCGTATCAGCTCCTGGGAAGACTTTCGATGCACGTGCAAGACTCTAGAGGGCCAAGCCTTGCACTTGTCAGGACACTTGGCTCGG